GGGGAGAGTAGTAATGGTGAGAGATTGGTACATGTAGGAACGACACATTGTCCCATTGTGTGGGAAGGATTAACTGAGGAAGAGCTGGAAAACGAGAAAAATGAGCCCAAAGGTGGTGAGATTGAAGGCCAAGGGGAGTTGAGGATGTATATATGAGGAGAAGACAAAATGAGGGAATAGTGTTTGCCATGCCACTCGTGTCAATAAGTCCCTTGTCACGGTCTACCCAGCTCCTGAGACTCCTACGTCATCCACCTCAGAATTCAATTACACAGGTGATATCCTTCCCCTCCTACTCCTATAACTTTAAGGAGGACCTCTCACAACAATGTGGATTATCCTCCTGATTGTTTTAGTTTCTCACGTAACATTGCTCAATTTCTCTCATACTATAACATATTACCTTTACATGAAACATTTATTGCACCTTTGAACATTATCTCTATACCTAAGTATTGGTAGTTAGCTAAGCAGGATCCAAACTGAGAAGCTGCCTTGCTGGAGGATCTACCTAAGTATTGGTAGTTAGCTAAGCAGGATCCAAATTGAGAAGCTGCCTTGCTGGAGGATCTTGGTTCTCTCGAGAAGAACTGGATTTAGGAGCTCGCATTGCTACCACCAGGGAAAAAGACATTCAGGTGCAAATGAGTCTTAACAGTGAAGCAAACCTCAGAAGGAAAAATTGATCTGTACAAAACACATATGATGAGACATATGACATTGACTATGATGAGACATTTGCACCAATGACAAATATGAGCTCAGTCAGGACACCCGTCTCTTTGTCTGTGAATGTCGGATGGAGGTTACACCAATTGGATGTGAAAAATGCGTTTCTTCATGAGGATATGCTAGGAAGTGCACATGGAGATCCCCCTGGCTTCGACACAAACCAAATAGTGGGTAAGGTGTGTAGACTGAAAAAGTCACTGTACTGTTTGAAACAGTCTCCTCGAGCTTGGTTTGATAGCTTTAGGAGAGCAATGTTAGACATGGGCTATCAACAAACTAATGACTGCCACACAATGTTTTTTCGACATGGTGGTCACATTACTATTCTTGTTGTGTATTTGGAAGATATGATTGTCGCTGGTGATGATGAGGGAGAGATTGCTTAGTTAAAGACAAATAATTTGAAATGAAGGACCTGAGACAGCTTAGATGTTTTCTCGGGATTGAGGTGGCTCATGGAGCAGAGAGGATTGTTTTATCTCAGAGGAAGTATGTGCTAGACTTGCTCATAGAGAAAGACTTGTTGGATACAAGCCTGCACTTTCACCAATTGATCAGAAGGGAAAGTTGAGCGCATAAACAATAGAGCTAGTTGATCATGAGAGGTATCAGATGTTGGTAGGTCGTCTCATCTCTCTGAGTCAGACTCATTTCGATATATCATTTACTGTAAGCGTGGTGAGTCCTTACATGCTTGATCCGAGGAAGGGCCACATTGATGCAGTGCATCAGATTTTGAGGTAGCTGAAGAGTGCAATAGGGAAGATATTGATCTTAAAAAAAAAATGAACATTTAGACATTGAGGGCTATTATGACTCTGATTTGGTCAGTTGTGCTGATGATAGGAGTTCCACATCGGGATATTGCATGTTCATAGGGGGCAATTTGTTCTCTTCGAAGAGCAAGAAACAGTCGGTAGCTATGAGATTGACGGTAGAGGTAGAATACGTGTTCATGGCCTTAGGAGTTACCAAGATGTTATGGCTGAGAGCCTTGTTGGTAGAGCTTACGGTGGAGCAAGGAGCACAAATGAAGTTGTGTTGCAGCAATAAGTCAGCAATCAACATTGCCAACAACCTGGTGCAACACAAAAGAACCATCCATGTGGAGATTGATAGTTTCTTCATCAAGGAGAGGCTGAATAGTGGATTACTAGAGATAGGTCATGTAGCTACCAAAAAACAAGTAGCTGACTGACTCATCAAGGGACTTAGCTTATTAGATCTATGTAGATTGTGTGACAAGATGGGCTTAGTGGATATCTTTTGCCCATCTTGAGTGGGAGTGTTGAGAATTGTATAAAGTTTAGGTTCTTATTTGTGACTAGGAAATATAGAATCAATTTAGGGATTTATTTGTATAAAATATTGTAAGGCTCTATATAATCCCAACTCTTAAATGAATTGAGGAGATTTTTGAGCAATTCTTTCTTTTACAGAGTTTGGTTCTCTCTGGTATTTCTTAGGCATGGAAGTAGCTTAGTTCTCTCATGACATTTGTCTTTCCAAGCACAAATATGTGATGAATTTATTGACCAAGACTAATCTACTTTCTTGCAAATTGGTAATTGTCCCGGTGGATCTTAATGAGAAATTGTTCGAAGTTTCCAATGTCGTTGTGGTTAACAAAACACGCTACAAACCCTCTTGGGCAAGCTCATTTATCTTGCCCATATGCGTCCGAACTTTTTTCACGTCGTTAGTGTCGTAAGTTAGTTTATGGATGACCTCTACGAGTATCATCTCACCGTTGTCTATCGGATTTTCCACTACCTAAAAAGGCACATCTGGCTTGAGTTTGTTGTTCACTTGTCACACCTCTCGCTTTGTTCCGCTTTATCTGGATGCTAATTGGGCCGGGTTCATCAATGATCGATGATCTATCTCGAGTTATTGCTCATTCGTGAGAGAGAACCTTATGACTTGGAGAAGTAAAAAAACCGTACATCATTGCGTGTAGTAATGCTGAAATTGAGTTTTATTTTGACTTTGCGTGTGTGTGAAGTCCTCTGGTTGCGCATCATGCTCCGTGATTTATGTATGTCGGTCACCGTTCCTCTGTAATTTTTTTATGAAAATAAAGCCGCCATTAACATTGCTCATAATCCAAACCGTCATGATCATACTAAATATGTGGAGATTGATCATCACTTTATCATGAAGAAACTCGATTATGTGGAGATTTGTGTTATGTTTGTCCCATCCGCTGGTCAACTGGTCGATATTCTCACAAAGAATCTTCCTCTTCCGTTGTTTGATGATTTCAAGTTCAAATTAAACATGATTGACATCTATGCTTCAACTTGAGAGCGACTGATAGAAGTTATATTAGGATTTTATTTATTTCATGTTATTTCCTATTTAGATATTTCTTTTTATTTTTGTCTAGTTATATAAGTTTATGTTAGTTTATTTGATTTGTTTTTTGTTATCTTGGAGATATGTGTATCATTTCTCCTAAGTTTAGGATTCTAGTAAGTTGTATTTAAACCAAATTTGGTATCAATAAAGGTATTCGGCTCAATTTTCTAAACTACAAATGCTATTTTAAAATTTGGTCTTGTCCTTGCTTTTAGTGAAAATCATGCAACCTAATTAATTGTAGGAAAATAATTTAAAATGAAATACTGAAAATATAATTGCAAAAAACTGCAAACTTCACTGTTAGTAAAGAAGTCTTCATATAAACAGGCTTCATTATAATAATAATATTTAAATTGTCTGCATATAAGCAAGTAAATTGTCAGAAAGATAAAAGTGCAGATCATGATCCTCCGTAGCATAGTTTTGAGATTTTATGAGAACCACTAAAATGAATACAAACAAGTGAGATGAATCAAGTTTTTATTCAGTAAAATGCAAATAGACTAGATTCTGTACCATTTGAGATAAAAGGAATTTGGTAGAATTTACCTTGTAAACAATCTGATGAAGAGACTATATTAAAGAATTCCATTGTTCTTGAGGCAGTGAAAACATCATGCTTATAATTACATGAATGAATAACTACCTTTGAAAAGTTATGTGATATTGCAAAACATAATCAGGTAATAAATCATATAGAAGAAATGCAAATTAATTTTTAAGTATCATCTTTTCGGGTAATGCAAAGGGGCATCATATATATATTTCAAGTTTGATGTTGGATTGGCTTATTGGAGCATTTTTCAGTGTGAGATTTATGGGAAAGAGGAAGAACTTTCTAACTCATTTCTCGTGCGTGCCGAGGGATTGGAAGGGGTCGGATTGTGCTTATAAGGAGGGTGTGCTGGGTAAATTCCTAAAGCATACAGCAACAATAAATTGCTATTGTTAATTTAGTACTTAATGGTATTTTTAAATTCTAAAATGTGGTAATCGAAAAGTCTTGCGAAAATTTGATAAAATGCACGCTTTCTAAGTGCACATGGTTGAATATATTTCAAAATTTTGCTTCATCAAGAAATAAAGTGGAAGTTGGTGTAGAAGTGGAAACTTGGACGCCTACTTTGCTAACAAAATAGAAAGCTAAAAGAACGCAAAAACTTTGTGAAGAGGAAAATAAAATAGTTCTAAAGATTGTGGCAAAATATAGTGCTTCATCAAGAAATAAAGTGGAAGTTGGTGTAGAAGTGGAAACTTGGACGCCTACTGTGCTAACAACATAGAAAGCTAAAAGAACGCAAAGACTTTGTGAAGAGGAAAATAAAATAGTGCTAAAGATTGTGGCAAAATATATATAATTTATATTTAGTTAAAAATGTTTACTAAACAATTATTAAATTGGACAATTTGAAGAATTATCAAAAGCAAAATAAAAAAAGTACAATTTTGAACCAAGATAAATCAATTACTAAACTGGAGAATATCATACATCAAATTCTCAAGAAATCCGAGATTTTAAATTCTTGATTTTCTTTTGCATAGAAGCTCTGGTCTCTTTTTGGAAGCTTTGGTTGCCCAACAGTTCTTTCGGTTCATTGTATGTAATATCATTATTTCAGAGTCAACTTCATATCATAATACCTCTATATCGTGATATCAAGTTAGATTCAGATCATAATAGGAAAGAAAATGATTAATATCTTCTTCACTCACAAGATGCTAGATACATGGTTAAAGTGTTTATGAGATCTGCAACGAAGGAATAGTCATGATTTGTTTAAGCAGCGTGTCAAACACCTTTTTAATGGTGATATAGATTCGCTGCATTTATTAAATTTTTGATGAGATATATTTCTCTTTTTACAACTTACTCACCCCTTTATGGTTGCATCTTTTCGTGTTAGGTGGTTATTTCTTGGGCGAGTCTGCTATCAATTGCTTCCTACAGGTTCTTCGTATGGTCAGAGTTATTGTCCACATGGAAAGGAACGGCTTTCACAACTCTCTCTCTGTTGCTCGTCACGGCCTGCATGCAAGCTTTCATCCTGTTTTCGCAGGCCGAGCGGTCCACATCCGCCAAAGCCGCACAGGCCAGAGTCAAGAACTCATAGGTGGTTCAATATGATTTAAGAGAATCAGGATAGTATTTCTTTCCATCTACTTATTATTTCAATTAATAAATTGTTTGTTGATGTTGTTTATCTATTTCCTTAGTTTGAATATTGGATTTTAGGTGCAAAATGTAATATATATTTATATACACACATATTTGCAAATCAACACTCTTACTCTGATAGGCTAATAATTTTGCTCTTTATTTGGTCAGCTATACACATTTACTTCATTTTTTTTTTTGAAGGCTTTCAGTTTTTGTGACCATCTTTTCCTTTAAATGTTTAGCCATGATCAATCAGCTTATTTAGATTTTTTTTCCTTTTTTTTTACTTTTCTTTTTTTATGAAAAAATGAGCCCATAAAACAATATGCATGATTCGAAATCATGATTAGGGCCGTCTTTGGATCGGCTCGTTAAGCAAACGAGTCGAACACACATATTTTTTAAGCTCAAAATATAAACGAGCCTAATTTACACTCTTAATCATGATCTCACTGTGAAAAATAACACCCACCACCATTATTGCAGATGAACAACATTTAGCATGTTTAGATAAGCCCAAAAGGCAATATGTACAAATTGAATCTATGATTTCACTGGGACACTTCTCTATCAACTACTATGTTCCGAATAAATGCACAATTTTGAATTTAATCATGATCATTTATTTGAAAAAAAAATGGTACAGACATACCACATAACTTATGCATTTACAAATCTTACTCCTAAGAATCAATTTTGATAAATATGCCACCTCATCTATGCATTAAAAGGTGTGTTTACCTTTTTCTTTTTTCTAAATCTTTAGAGGGCGTAATTGTAAAAAATAAAATTTATGAGTTAGATATGTAAATAAATAGGAATTTGGGGTTACTTGTATGATGCCCTATTATTTAGATGATTGAAATCCATTAAGAGATTTGAAAATTAGAAGATAAGAGTCATCTCTGTTATTAATGCAGCAATAAAGATATTCTTATATATAAACAAAAATGAATAAAGATTTGTTTGTTTCTTGTTCGGCTCATTTAGACTCAAAAATAATAAAATAATGTATATAATTGATGAATACTATTTTTAAATAATTTAATTGACTATGGCTACAAAGATTTATAATAAATTAAATCAATTAAAAAATAAAATAAAAATATATTAAATTATATTTAAATAATATTTTAATATAAATATTAAGATTTAAATTTTGCATTACCAATTAACATCCTACGGCTACGTGACTAGTGTTGTCAAAATAGCTCTTTATTCGCGAGTAACTCTTGTTTGACTTGCTAAGTAAGGTACTTTTTAACAAACGGGACACGTTCTGAGCCCGAGTGTGTGTGTGTGTGTGTGTGACCTTTCAAACAAAAAAAATAAATAAATAAAAAAAAATCTAAACCATAAACCTATGATCTTTCACCATGATTCACATGAGCAATATCAATTTCGCCTTCCAAATGAAAACACATCCATACCACACAACTCGTATGAATTTACATAACACCTAAACTTCCATATTTACATAAAATATCATTCAAATATTTAATATTTCATTTAAAAAAAGTTCACCATCAACATATTTTTAAAAGTGGAATACACCTATTCACACAAATTATGAAAATAAAGCATTATAAATGTAAATTTAAAACTTTAATCATCGAGCTGCCCTGCTGGTTGGCATCCATGGTATAAGACCCCTCATGTCGGGGGTTCGAATCTTCTCTAATACAGTTGCCCTTAAGGAGGTGGTACTCAAATTGTTAGGCATATTAGAGGTGACAAGAGACTCGTGTAATAGCCTTTGACCATTCCTTGAAAGAAAAAAAAATGTAAACTATCAAGCAACTCTTCATGCATCGATTTATGACAATAAAGTACTAAAAATGTAAACATTAAACTTTGAACAAACACTTAAAACTTTCATATTTACATACATATCACTCAAGCTTTAAACATTACACCAAAAGTATAACGATTATTATCTTTTTAAAAGTGAAATATACATTTTGGTTTCAGCACCAAAATATTTTAAATGTAAATATCACATTTTAGGTATATAATAGTGTAATTTATAATCAAACACTTTGCATTCTGATCTAATTTACTCAACATAAGCAACTGCAAAATCATTCATTCACTCAATGCACAAAATGAATAAAAAATTAAAATACACCAAAAAAAAAAAGTCGAAGTCAGTTATCAAGCACTGAGAAGCAATTCAAAAGTAAGGAGTCGTTAACTAAACATTTGTAAAATCAATGGCATATGGAGTTGGTGATATATATATATATATATATATACTGCATGCAAGCT